TCAGTTACTTATATTAATCAGTAGGTACCCTATACATATTTTGGAATTTTGTTTGAGGGAAATGATACTAAACTATTGAGTAATAAATTCCTGCAACTAACAAATTTTTAGCTCTTGTATTTTCCGCATACTCGAAAACTTCACCTTTTATGAGTACCTACATTGTTTTCATAGACAAGCGGTATTTATACGATTACAATGATACAAGACAAAGTGAAATAATAATATTTTAAATAAAGCACATTATAACCTAACCAAAATTGAGTAATGATGTTTACAATAAAAATCTCTATATTCTTATAGAAAATCCAAACGAAAATAATGATAGTTTATTATATATCAAAAAAATTTGATGTATACATTATACATGAATATATTGTTTCAAAATGTATTTTGTCAATTCAAAAATTCTGCGAGAATATGTAGGCATTGGAAAACTGTGATTTTAACTAATCGATGATGATTTATCGATTCTATCATATTGAAAACATTTTGACACCACACATTCGTTTAAAACAACTGTACGTAGATACGCGCTCATCAACAACAAAACTCCAACTAATAGTATTATAAGTTATAATTTATAAGGTTGAAATAATTTTGCTTAATCATGCATTTTTAAAAAACGTTTTAGTAACTAAGGTATATAATAACATTATATGGTTCTACCTAATTTATATTAGTACCATTTTGACTTATCGTATACAAGTTAGGTAACATTAATAACGCAATACTGCAGCCTTGTATAGTAGGGATAATATCATCAAAACTTATCTCTTATTTTCACGTAGAATAAACATGTCATATCGTATTATTTTATTACACTTGAAAACGTTAAAACTACATGCGTCACGCAACTATACCTGTAACAATAATATAATAGGTAGGTACCTAAATATATTATATTGATTTTTTTTCTTGAAATTAACTAAAATACACATAATAATACACAACTATTTAAATACTTATTCGATGGAATTGATAATGATTTAGATATCGATTGATTTGAAACCCTGGCAGACTTAAGAGGACTTAAAAGCCGCTGTCCTGTCTTCGTCTTACAAACATACAACCTTGTAGTAAGTATATAGGCTATACTATATTTGCGTTTAGCTGAACAAAATAGTATGTGTTGTATTAGAGTGAGTTTATCTATTATCAAACTTAAGATCGGAATATTATATGTGTTTATACATAATTATTTTACAATATTTGAATTTTTAAGCTAGTTATGATCATTTTAAATTGCAATATTTTAGGTGGGTACTCAAAATTATCTTAGAAATTGAAATATCGTGAAAATACCCACGCACAATCACACATCTAATATTCTTACCTTTAAGTTTGACGATAGATAAACTCACTTTAATACTAAATGTAACAACACAATATTTGTTCTCTTGAAAAAAAATTTACATGTTGTACATTTGTTATAAGACATGGGCCACACAATTTACGGGTGTGAGTATGCACTACTTACATGTATTTTAATAAAATAATAAAATATATACAAGTTAGAACTAAAGTCATATATTATATGTGTATTGACATGATGATATAAAATACGGAAAGAGTTTTGTGTAATTTTCAGTAGCCCTCAATCATTTTAAACTTATCTTGTAAAGTTGTAAAACCCGACATTAAATCTCATTCCTTGTCTATAATTAGGTTATTCATTATATTTCAGTAAAAATATATGAAAAATATAGTTAAGCCTTTAAAACTCAAAAGTTAAAAGTATATTTGAAATATAGTTATAACTAATACCTATAATATATACTAATGTATTTATAAATAGAAGTTATTGAAAATATGTGATTTTCTTACGAGTTATACAGTAATTCACACAACATTCGAAATAAAATGTAAATAATAACATCATATTAAAGTTTATAGTTTCTACTATAATCACTAATCATAAACATAATCATCGAAATATGGAATTTATAGTACCTAGTTACTACATTTGCTATATGCATATAATAACAAACTTATTCATATATATTTTAAAAATTCTGAATGTTTAGTTTTGTGGGAAAAAAATGATAAACCTAACTGTTAAACTATATACTTTCCAATAACTATGAAGGTAATACCTGCAGTATTGAAATAAACCGTGTTCTAAGGTGTTTTCAATTTTGCACACATAGTTAATATAAGTACCTAGGTACTAGGTACCATAATTATATACAACGTGCAATATATTTACACAATAGCAAAGTGCAAAATCCAATGAATTGCGTTGAACAACTGCAGCTGTTCGGGGGGGAGCCGATGTTTACAATCGGAAAATGCCACTTGCACATGTCCTGTACGGTGAAAAAGGGGGCATATTATATCAATTCAGCCAAAATTACATTTTTACATGTAAGAAACTTATTGATTGCTCCGGATATCAACTCCACCGAACTTTTAGATTCTGAGCGCAACGATGAATGTATTGATTTTTCAACGATGTGTGTTTTTATATTTTTTTTTTTTTTTGTGTATGTCTGTCATCAAGGTTTCTTGCAGTAAAAGTGCTTCGATTTTCTTCAACAGCAACTTTTCTGGTAGGAAAGTGAACCTAGTTGCAAACGGGAATTTTTACGCAAAAATTTAAAAATTGAATACAAGATTCCTTACAAATTTTTCAAAATTCTTAAATTCTTAAATTCCTTACCTTTATCAAAAAAAAAAAATTCTACCGGAAAGTCAATTTTTTATAAGCGTTTAAAGTTGAAATTTTTACAACAGGATATTCACAAGATTTCTCTTGTAGCGATTTTCTTATTTTCTTGAAATTCAAAAACAAATTACTGTAGACACTTAAAATTTACACCAAATGCTTATTTCATCAATTCATATACTTGATAAAATATTCAAAATATTTTGACTCGTTTTAAGCTGTTGACAGACATTTTCTATAAATGTCAATTTTATCAGTTGGGTTAAAAAGCATGAACATTTAATACAAGATTCTTAATAATATATTGTTACTAGAGCAATTGAAAAATATTAAAAATACATAGCCATGATTTTTTTTTATAAGCATTTAAAGTTCAAATGTTGACAATATTTATCAAATTGAAAATTGAAAATGATTTTGTAGTTAAAAATGTATAAAATTTTCAATTTGTATAGCTAAGGATTGACAATTTAAAACAAGGTTAAACTTTAGCAGTTTTTTCCAAAACTAAAATATCTAAGAAATTTATAAACACGGTTTTTTTTTTTTTTACAGATATTTTAAGTTCAAGTTTGGACAAAATTGCATATTAACACAAATTCATTTCGTTGTAATTCGGTTCCAAAGCAGCCCAATTTTACATAGGTATATTTAACATTTTTCCAGCATCAGTGATAATTTAAAAATAATATTAATTCAATCTACCGGCTACCATAATAATAATAAGTAATAACAATATAAAATACCTAGACTAACATACCGACTCCGTTCAGAATCATTTTTCGTATACAATGATATCATATCATTGAATTCAAATTTAATACCATCCTTTACAGTAACCTCTTAGACACTTAAAGTGCAGCAGAGCGACATCGACTTACCCGCTTTTTTACATATTGATTCTTCTGGCTCATATATTATTACACACTTTTACTAAAAATTGATGATGAGACGCTAAAAATTGTATGTGATTATTATTTATTTATGTGATAATTATATTGATAAAACATCTAAATTTAATACAAAAATATTTGTATCGTCAGAACGAAAACTAACAATGCCGAATTTCAGCAGACAAAACCATCATAATTCGTAATATACAAAATATGTCCTGCGGAATCAAACCCTAAGAAAAGAACAAGTTCGGTTTCGCAGTCACTCGTCATCTCCGATTAATAGGTATTATAGTAAGCAATAGCGTGTGCTATATATGGACTTTAATACAGCTATAGGGTATTATACTATTATAGGTATACAAACAGCGTATACCATATCATAAACAAATGTTATAAATTATGCGTTGTATAAGATGAAAAGTCTCTTTGAACTTAATTTTTTGTGTTTTTTAGTTTTTCCTTATTGGCGCATGCAAATAAATTTAAAAAACTTAAAATGACTAATTCCAAATTTGTTGTCTTGGAATATAATTTAAAATCTTTAGATAATTATATTTTGTTTCATAGAGTGCGAGACGGACACAGCTGATTGCTGAATAAACATAATTTTGTAAGCTTACACTATTATACACTTATATATTGTTATTATTTGGTCGATTTTAACGCGAGGGGGACTCGGAAGTTATTGGTTAGAATCCGATGCGCGACAAGTGACAACAATAACAATAATTATGTGTAATATTAAGACCGCCGGCCGTGCTCACTTATAATAGTAATTTATGCTTATTTAATAAATTAATGTATTGCTGTTTCAGCTAATAATATATAGGCATGTTTATGGGGTCTGGCAAACTGTCAATTTAAATTGAGCCAATACCAACTTTTATAATGTTTTTTTTTTTTTGGGGGGGGAGGGTGAGCTGATTTCATAACGGCTTTCCTAAAAATATACTCTTGAGCAGACCAACAAAATAGTTCTAGACACTCCCCTGTAACTACTAACAAGATATATAATTATATGGGCATGCGTATATCTTAATTAAAAAATGCCAGTATCATACGTATATTAAGTATGTAATGTATAAAATATAGAACATATATTGATTCCCGTGTATTATATGTAATTACACAACTTGATTTCAAAAAAAATTTATTTATTTATAAAAACTAATATGTTATCTTTTGTTTTAAAAAACGTGGTAATAATATGTTAATATAGCCCATAACATCAAAAATCTAAGTTGTATTACTCATAATATATATTGTACACTATACCTACACTAAACATACATTTCACAAAAAAGTCAGTGTTTAAAAACTTCTACTCAACTCCCTCCCCCCCTACGCACACACACACACACGGCACACAAATTCGACTTGGGATACACCCTACGCATGCATTTTGTATTTCAAATGTAGTCCAAAATAGCACTCACCTGTTGAGCCTGCCGTACACGGTGTACGCTATGACGGCGACGACGGCGATCGCCACGCCGGCGCTGGACGCGAACATGCAAACGGACACCATGGTGAATTCGACAGCGGCGACGATCAACATGACGGCGGAGGCGGTGGTGACGATCGTTCAAAGGATTATAGTAATTATTTTATTTACGTCGAACGATCGTAAAGCCGCGATGATGGGTTGACGGTGTATTATAGGTAGGTATCTATAGCATAGAAGTGAGTTGGTTGGTTGGTTGGTATTAAACGTTATAAGAGCCAAGAGGTAGGAAGTAAAGTCGCAGACGACGGCGGCGGTAGCGGTGGCGGTGACACTCGAGATAACCGACTATTTCGATGATAAATAATAATTACAACTTGGGTATACATATATAGTATAGTGTATATACTGACAAGTAGGTATATATAGGCTGCAGTCGCAAAAACAATATTATCGGAATTTTAACAGTTAATTTTTATTTTTTAACGACAACGACACATACGTAATCCGATCGCAATTCGTCCAGGTATAGGTAATAGCGGGTTATTAATAATAATATAATATATTTTATACAATGCGCGAACTGCAATTGAGCAAAGAACCAAAAATATTCAATCGAAATCCCAAACACGATTTTACGCGAACTGTACTATATTAAATCTAAGATTATTCTCAAATATTGTTTTAAATAATTTTTTAGTTAGTATTATTATTTTTTTTTTTAGAAGCGCTCGCCACTTGTTTTCATTCGCAACTGACAGTACCTATATGTATACATAATACCAGTTGCCCTTTTTGCCCCCTACTGGCCATCATCATTATTTATGTGTATATATTATATTCACATGCATTATGATTATGAATATACGCGCGCGCGCTGGCGATTGTAAAATAAACGTGTTTGGGATACCTTGAAAACAATAAAAAAAAAAAATTGACATTAATTGCTAATTAGCGGCAACACCACAGCCACTGCGAGATTTACGTATACGTATATGCGTGCGTTTTGTACCTAAACCGATCGATATTATTTTTGCATTCGTATAGGATGTACTGTCTATATTGATTTTTCTACCATTAAAGTCAACAAAAAAAATCTCTGAACATTTAAACAGTGGGATATTTCGTTTACAACACGAGGAAAAAAAATAAGAGCACCTATATTCTGCAAAATGATTACCGCTGTGACTATATAGCAGCAGTACACCTACATATTTAGGTACATATAATAATATAATATAGTACCCAATAGTACTCTATGTTATATGCATAATAATAATGTATAGTTATAAGTACACAGCATTTCTGAAGTCTTCGAACGCTCCACAATTTATTATAAATCATAATTATAGACGTTCTGCTGTTTTTCAGTTCACGATGAGACAATTGAAGTTCACGTAGGTACCCGTAGTATTCTAGATCAAACTAAATTGTAAAGTACATAATATATATGTAGGTATTATACAGTAATACGTATAGGTAAAGTAGGTAATATATATATATTACTATATTAGACAATGTGCACTTTTCCCACGTATAATTTGAATAAAAGTAGGTGCATAACAATTTTAATTACTCTATTATAATCTATAATAAACTATACCTAGATTTTTAATGCAAAGCGGTAAAAAAATGTTTAGATTACCTACTGCAGATGCAATTAAAATTAAACAAAAACTAACCAAACTTTTGTTTTTTGTATTACGAGATCACATATGCACAAGACGATTAAATTTGAAATCACGCAAATTACATATACATTTTAAAGCTTATTATACTTATAGGTACTAGGTAGTAAAAAATATAATATGACTATGTGATATTGTTCAACTATATGTTTAATGAGATTGAAAACGGACTGAACGCGTCGATGTAATTTCATAACAATGACAATTTGTTATACATGTATATAAAATATAAATATTGAAATGTACCTATAGGCATATCACTCATGTTGTAGTTGTGTATATACGTATATAAGATCGTGTATATAATTTTAAACCAGTATCATATTACATGCTCAAATAAATAATATTTATTTCGTAAGTCGTAACATTATAGGTACCTACTAATATATACCTGCACGGCTGCATAGTGTTGTTTGCTTATCGTCATTGTTATTATAGGTACCCGTTTTAATATCAAAGTTGAAATTAAACTCGTTATGTTTTTATCGTGTTCAGTAAAAAAAATATATTTTTATTGTGGACTATAAAATAAATAGGGAAGGCAACCATCATACCTTATTTAAACCTTTTTTTCTGTTTCAACCGTGAGACAGGATTGACTTTATATTGCTTCTAGTGGAAGTCATCTATCATAGCAATTGAAAGAGATTTGTCAAACGTTCAAAACAAAGAAGACATTTTAAATAAATTTGCTAGTACTGAGCGGAAGCTTAAAAGCTGAAATAGTTACCTATAAAACTATCTGGGGCTTAAAATAATACTTAATAATAATATGTTAATATTTTAATGTTTACCTCAATACCACCTTTTTATTATTTGTTTTATACATGCCACACACAGTGTAATAAAATAATATAATAATTTCATAGGTAATGAATTATGTTATTTATGCTAAATATGTTAGGGCTGAAGCGCCTGAAGCCCCCCCTCCATAACTTTAAGGTCTATATACGCCCTTGGCTTCCACCCGGCTACACATCGTTTAATATATAATTAAAAAAATGAACGTCACATATTGGTCTCTTTCTGCGATGGCCGTGCAGTATTACTAGAAAAAAGCATTTCCTAATAAGAGATCCACGCCACCGGGTCTGCAGTTAAAAATTGTAGACATCGCATTTGGTTTTTGTAACCCGTTCGAATGAGTTCTGTTACCCAGGTTGTTAACGCTTCGGTTCTTCCTCCTCTTTCTAACCTAGGATGTCTTCCAACATCTGGATGAAGAAACTTCTAGCCCTTGTCGATGCTCCTTCTAGTCTGCAGCCAACTTCTCTGCCAAGAACCCTCTTTGGCCTACATAAAAAGTTGGTAACATCCTGTGGCCTCGGTTTTCTTCCTCCCAATAATACCTTTGGTTTAAACTCCTCCCCTCTTACAACACGGAAAGTTATGTAAATGTATTGACAAACATCTAAACTTTTAAGTTACTAACATATTTTAAAGTGCCATCTTACCAAGAATAATGGAGAAAACCGATACTATAATAGTATAATGAAGAACAGTACCTATATTATAATGTATAGGTACCTATCTCTAAGAAACTATTCGGTGTTTTATAATATTATGTATAATATATAGTAATTTATTATAGCTTAACCTCTACAATTTATTCTTATCAAACATATTTATTTAAAAATCTCAATAATGTAACTGTTTAAAATTGTCATTACTCATTAAGTACCTACCTACCTAATTTGTATTTTTGTAAATTAATAATAAAATGTACACGACTACACCAGTAGAACGCTGAACAGTAACCACCCTTGCTAAATTTTACTTGTATAGTTTTATCTTGGGAGTTACCCGTTTCCGCCAAAATAATATTGGCCGTTTCCGCCATAGCCCTTTTCCGCCAAAAACGAAAAAGGTTCGATTCCCGTTTCCACCAAAAGACATTTCCGCAAAAAAAGTTTGGAAACCAATGGTCTTAATTTTTAAGCAATATTTATGTTTTGGTATATATAAAATAAAATAGTAATGTAAAATGTAGGTAATAGCAATGACATTTGTAAATAATTGCAAAATTGCGAATAGGTACAACAATATATAGCGAATATATTTTTGTGAAAAGACGTTTCCGTCAATTTAAGAACCATGTACAAATCTTACATATTCTTATCATATAAAAATATTTTTATTATTATAAATTATAGTACAAGTAGATAATAATAATACATTATATTTAACTATTTCAAATTATAATACAAGTATAGGTCAAATATAGTCTCAAATCTCAATAGAGTTTTGAAAAAACATATCGTTATTTTTAAATAATTAAAAATGTCATAAAAAATATTAATTATTATAATACAAGTATATGCCAGGTTTTAAAAATCACATTCTTAAGTATAGGTTAGGTTTTAAAAAATCATATAATTATAAGAAACAATTTTGACAAACGTGTACCTACTAATTTCATTGGAACTTTTTTTTGTAATTGCTTCTTCAGTAGTTTTTAAACGGTTTAATATTTTTATTTTACATTACTATTTTATTTTATATATACCACAACATATATATTGCTTAAAAATTAATACTATTGGTTTCCAAACTTTCTTTTGCGAAAATGTCTTTTGGCGGAAAAGGGAATCGTACCTTTTTCGTTTTTGGCGAAAAAGGGCTATACCTAAATCAGGGAACCGGTTTTTGGCGGAAACGGGCGATGCCCTTTATCTTATATGCCTATATACAATATGGGAATATGACCAAATGTACTTTAAACATTATAATATTATGCATTTATGCAGAATGCTGATTAAGAAAATATCGGTGAGTGATCCACTTGAATAGTTGAATCATAATTCAAATTAAATTTGTAGTTCTGCGCAGATATTATCAGAAATAGCAGAACCAGTAGTACCACTTTGAAGATATTCATTGAAGCGGGATTTTCAATAAAAACCAGCAGAAGCACATGGTATTAGTAATTGTATTAGTATTAAGCAAAATTTTAATTTTATAATATTCCATATATTATGACCACGATTAAATATATCCTTAATGGTGATTTAAGACAAAACTTTAATCTCACTTTTTTACTGTTCAGCGGTAAAAGTGTGATAACCTTGGTGAAGATATTTAACCAGTAAATAACTTTTCAAAATAATCAGAAACCTTATCACACAATAATATGAACATGTAGTACCATGATAAAAAATAGTTAATCTCGCTCCCGCTAAATGTTATTTGTTAACTGTTGTTCATTTGAAAAATCTAAACTTTTTAAATTTTTAGCTTTTAGCATTGCTTAGCCATGGGTGTCTTTATATAATATTTAATTTTATCATATTCTTTAAGCTCCTGTAATTATGTGGTCATCAAAAAAGAACACCATTCAAGTGTTTTTTGTCCTTACAGAAGACAGGACAGACATTGAAAATATGTCTGAAACTATGCAGCTTGCATTACAAGTAAGTGGTAACGTATTTTGTTTTTGGGCACAAAAATCAATAAAATATATAGATCATAATATTTATATTATAGGATTGCATTAATCATGAACTTACCACTAATGTGATCAGTGAGTCAGATGTTTGTAGTATGAAATCGTTGAAAAAAAGTCAAGTTTTTGTTTACGACACTTTTGAAGGACCTGCTTTTCAACACATTGTAATGGCTGCTAAACAAAATAAAGCTGCGTTAGTACAATATTCTGATTAATGTATTATTTATTTAATATTTCAAATCAACTAATAGTTAATTACAATATATTAAACATTTAAATCTATTCTGATTTATTTTATGGTAAAAATTAATTAATAGTTGCTAATCCATCCATTTTTTAATTTTATATGGGTACTAAGCTTTGATTAATTTTATACAAATTTTAAAAACATTGAAGTCTATGACAACATAATGCTTAAAAATACAAAAGACATAATTACTGTCCAGATTTGATATCTAAACTAACATTCATTATTTATACATATTACATACATACATAAACTACTCACAAAACCAGACATGTTGACATAATATTATGTCCCATTGGCCATTTTTGAATATGTTCCAT